GCCAAAAAATCTGCCACTTGAAAAAATTTCAGCGATGGTATTTCAAAAACATATTTACCTTAGGTCAAAACCTTAAGGTTCTTCTCACGCCTAGTTTTTTTCATAGAAAAACTTGTCTTGAATTATGGTTAGTCTTAACAATTGTATTAGCTAGATGTAAGCTACACAAATATAGGTAATTGTAATTAGGCAGTGTCAACTGGAATAAGATTTGGACAAAATTTTCATTTGTAAACTGTTTTTGCTCTGACCACTCTGTAAAAAGGAAAAAATTTACAATTATGGCCGTTTTTTTAAATTTTTCAGCCGGTTTTTACAAGCGAACCTACAGTGAAGAGTGTTGTCATTTTGAAACCCTATAAGTGATTATACAGATATGGAAAAAGATGAAAAATTCATCACTATGTCGAGAAAAACTGGCCTCATTATTATAGGCTAGACCAGGCAAAAAAAATACTGAGAGGTTGAGCTCTCGTCTTAAAGCTAAGATGTTCAATTTAACCCGTTGTTTTAGCTGAAAAAAAACACCTTTTCTGTTTTCCATTACTTTAGTCTTTCCTCTCGATTAAAATAATAGCTGGTTTGTATAAATTTGAAGAAAAAAAACGTGAAAAACAATATTTCAAATAATTTTGAAATTAGTTTCTAATTTTTTATAAATATGTTTTTTTTAGATTGTTTTTTCAATTAACCGACTTGGACAAAATTGTTTGCGTTTTTTTCTTACAAAAGCACAATTTTAAAAAGTAAAACTTTTTACCTAGTCATGATGTATCATTTTGTAGCTGTTAAGCTTTTCGCTGTGGAGTTTTTCAATGATACAACTTGTAACCAGCTTTTTTATCGGATTTAAATTGAAGAAAGAGGTTAAAATACATTAAAAAAGGGTTTTGTTAAAGTGGTTAGAGGAAGAGATAAAACTTTAAAATAGATATTTTTCAACCAAAAGAAGTTCAACCAATCTTAGCTGGAAAAATCACCATCGTTGAGCATATTTTGTGGTCATTTGGATATTTATCGCGGCTACCGAATCTGAGGTTACTGATCGGTGCAAAAATAAGCCAGAAGAGACGGTTCTTCCACACGCACTGTAAAGATTAAACAAACTACTTTTGAATTTTTGCTCGCAAACAGATTGTTTTGGCTTATAAGGTTGGCACATCTTAGTTTGGAATCAGTTTTGAGCTTTATTGATTCGCCTCCTGACACTATTCGTAAAAGAACTACTGGTATAGCAGCACGCTCTTACCTTATTGTTCCGACTTTCGTAACGAAAAAAAAAACAGAATATTTTTGCTCGCGGTGATTTTTTTCTTCAGACAAATTTTGCCTTTTTAACTGGCCATTTTTGACGAAATTTTTTTATAGCATTCAAAGGGTATTGTTGTCTTGAGATTAAATTTAAATAAAGATGTTTCACCTGTGATCAATTGTGAGAAAAATATGAAAGTTTAAAGATTGCCTTTTTTGAATTTTTTTTCTCAAAATTCAATAAACTATAATACATTTTCATGGCTTCTGATCCATTATCTTTCAACAAACGTCATCGCTTCATTTCGTTTTGTGTGCTTTTCAGTTGGTATCATTTGTTAACTTTTTTTTAAAATTCTTTTAAAAAATTTTGAAAAGAAACTTTTCATTAGTGTGACCTCAGAATAAGCTTAAAACACTTAAACATGATAATATGAGTATTACCGTTATAAAAACATCTTGGCAAAAAGTCCCACATTTAAATTTATTATAACTAATTTTGATTTCAATTTTTATCATTTTTTATTTCAATAAACAATCGTTGATTTTTGTTATTTACCAGCTATGTGAAGATACAGCAAAAAATGATTTGTCACTTGGAGAGAAATCTATCATTTTGTGCTTTATTGGCGTGTGGAGGGATGATTTCACAAAAATATCAAATTAAAAAATAATCACTTTTTTAATTAAATTTTGTTTTTTTTTTCATGTTATTACTGCTCCATAGACCTTAAAAGGCAGCGGAACAATCAGGGTTTCGCCCTGATAGGAGTAGTCTTGTTTTTTTAATCGCCACATTTGTATATGGATTTGTGGCAGCCCGCATTGGTCGGCTAGCATAATATTCAATACTGTTTCAGTACAACGGGATTTACAATAAGTTCAAAAAACTGTATCAGAGTAAAATCAGTTTTAAGGACTCTGCAGTTCTGTTAAAGAACTGGAGCAGTACTGATACAGTGCTGTTGATATTTCTCATTCTGTTTTTGCTCTGCAGTACTGTTGTATTCCAAGTTTGCAGTACTGTTGTATTCTTCTTGCTCCAAAACGCTTTTAGAGTAAAAAAGATTGTATCAGTACTGCAACATAGGAAAATACCGGATTTTTTTCTCACTATTTCGAATGAGTTTCTTTTGTAAGCGTCGTTACTTTAAAAAAATTAATAAAATAGCTTCAAATGGCCAGAAAAACGCTGAAAGTTACCTGAAAACTGAGTTCATTTTGCGAAAAAATAGAAATAGTTTAGCAATGGTATTTAAAAGCCTAACAACTATTAGGAACAAAGTTTTTCGTTACTTGAACTTTTGAACCTAGCCTCCGCAAACTTTCACTTTTTTCAGTCCGCCTCCTAGACTCGGTTAAGGTTAACTGACGTTGCCTGTCATAACTTTGACTTGATTTTAGTTGTAATTTTCAGGCAATCAGTCAATTGTTGCTTTTAGATTTTTTTATTCGTTTTCTAGATGTTTTCTGTTAATCCCCTTCCCTCAAAATAGCGAAAGATTTGTTTAAACATTTTTTTTAAATATATCAGATATTTTATGATTTAAGGTACCTATGAATTAGGATAGTGGAAAGCCGACTTTTTTAAACCATCAAGATCTTTTTTTCATCTAACTATGCCAAAAAAGATTGTTCATTTTGAAACTTTTCTGTACTCTGGTCGCTATCTATGTTGACCTTGCTTTTTAAGGTTTTTCTTACAATATGAAAAACACTTAATCAAAACCCCATTTTTGTACCCAGTTAAGACAATTATGAACTTAATGCTATTTGAGACATTTCAGTCAAATGTTATGATAGACAAGAAGAAAACAGGAAACCAAACGCTCCAAAGTTCTTAGCCCGAGAGGCAATTAGAGATGGCGCCAGCTTTTAAAAAGTGAAAGATGCTAAAAGCAAAATTCCTTTTTGCCGTTTACTTGACAAGAGAATAAGTGGTACGCTTTTCAATTCAAGTAACTGTAAATTTAGATTTAGACAATGAAAACTAAACTTGTTTCCTCTTCAGAGAGTCACCGAGTTTATAATCGTCTACAATTGTAGTCTTTCTGGATTCATAAGTTACTTTTGACCTGTTTGAAAATCTGTTTACGAATTGAAATATTGAGACAGTATTTGTGACTTTGGCTAGAAACAAAGTGACATTAGGAACTTGCACGTGAGGTAATAAATCGTGGCACGTAAGGTAATAAATCACATATATGTATTTAGAATCAGTTATACAAACTTACCCGCATTGACAAAACCCGCATTGAGGCATATATGTATTTAGAAACAGTTATACAAACTTGCCCGCATTGACAAAACGAATTCACATTCAATTTTAGAATAAAAAAGCGTTCATATGAATAAAATTAATTAAATTGGATCTCTTTTTATTTATCGGAAAAAAGTTGATTTGGATTGATTCTAAGTTCATTTAATTGGACCTCATATTTAAACCGGAAACATATCAACTTAGATAAATTAAATTTGAATTAAATTAAATCAGGGGCGGATTTAGGGGGGGGGGCGGACGCCCTCCTTCCTCAGGGGTTCGACCCCCTGCCGACCCAAAGGGTCCCCCCTTTGATATTTTTTAAGAAATAGAAATCCATTTTTGGCCGACCGACCCTAAAATTCTTCTAAATGCGCCTTGGGCGCAATATATACTAACTTTGAAATGGAGAGCTCGCCAAAAAAACGGCTTTTTGACCTTTTTTTCAAAATTTCCTATAAAATCGTCAAAATTTTCGAAAAAATTTTTAAAATACCCCCTCGAGAAAATCTTAGATCAGCCCCTGATTTAAATCCATCATATTGTCTTTTTATGCTTTTGTTGTTGAGACATTTTGAATTGACCTAGAACTATTTAAAAGCACCTTTTTCTAAACTGATTTTACACAGATTAAAATAGGAAATGATAATGTATGCTCTTCAATTAATTTTGGATCAACCGTCCAATCTACCCTAACTCGAGTTATTGGAAAGAAAAAATGATTTTTAAAGAGAATATTATATCATCTACATATTTAGTTATCAAACATAATAGCTAGTTTTGCGAGTTTGTATGGAATGCAAAAATTATACATAATGAGCTTTCAGAGTTTCAGATGTTCAGGGAGTTCATTCTGCGGTAGGTCATTTGTACGATAGAGCCTTAATTTTTCATGCTGATAGATTATCTGAAAAGAAACAAACTGATAAACTAATATGGAATTTCGTCAGCGTACCCGTACCCAGCGAAAGCTGTTTTTCTAGATATAAATGTTATATAGATTACCTAGCCAAACTTTATCATGTTTTCTGTACAGAAATGATCTTATTCTTTCTTAGTTTAGAAATAAACAATTTCTGGAAATAAATAAACAGAATTCATTTCACTGCTCAACCGCAATGAGATAAACATGCATCGAGCATACACCATAACCGTAGCAGTACTATGCGAATTTACACTTGTTTTAACAACTACACTTGCTAGAAAGAATACAACAACAAATTTACACTTGTTCTGCATGGTTACACCGAAGTTTCATGGATAAAAATCAATTATAATGGATAATTATGGACAAAAATATTGTCTATATATTCGATTATCCTTGCAAATTTAGACAAAATTTTGGATTTTTAATCTATTTTAATCGATTGCTTTCGAAAATAAAATCCATTAAAATCAGTTATAATCCATTTTTGTTTTCAATAAAATGGATTAATTTTTGTACTTAAATCCATGAAAATCAATTAAGTTGGGTAGCTATTTACTCTGCTTTTTGCAGTTTTTTGCAGAACTCGAACGAACACGTTTATCCAGGGGCGGCCAAAACATAGTAATTTTGACGAGCCAATAATTTAGTAATTTTCCAAAAAGTGCCTAAAACGGCGTTTTTGACCATTTTTTTAAACAAAATTTCAAGTCCCCCCCTCCCACTACTCACTACCCCTATGCTCCCCACGCCCCTAACCACGTATCAACCCCCCATTCCCTAAACAACGTACCACCCCCGTCCCCACGTACCCCAAAAAAATTACTTGCTACCAAAATTTGCCAAAAATCGATATAAGTTGATCCAAAGTTTTCTGGATGAGTCGAGTTAAATCTTTTTAAAACCCATTTCCAATTCTTATATGTACATGATTGATCAATTTCTCAATTTGAATCGATTTTAAAAAGATCGAAAACAGATTTAAGTCCATACAAAACCGTCTTTGTCAAAAACCCAGTATGCTTTTGCTTCCTGTCTTCTGTCGATAACAAACCGTGAGTTTGCTTCATTTCTGCGAGTAATTTGTCGGAAGTTAAAATTAGTTTTAAATTCTACATAAAAGTTTAGAGATCTTTGGCTAATGTGAGATCCATCAAATAAAGAAATATGAAATGTATTAGTTCATGGAGCCGTTAGGAAAATGATTTTTTTACTTGTTTTGCTCTTATAATTGCACTTATTGTTCCGACTTTCGATACAAAAGTAACGCAATATTTGTGCTCGGGGTGGGTTTTTTTTCTTCTTCAGACAAATTTCGACTTTTTAACTAGCCTTTTTTGACGGAATTTTTTTTATCATTCAAAAGGTATTGTTGTCCTGAGCTTAAATTTGAAAATATATTTCACCTGTGATCATTTTTCGTAAAGTTATGAGGGTTTAAAGATTGCCATTTTGGCCATTTTGACCAAATTGGGACAATTAACGCGCGATATAATTCGCGCTATTAACGCGTAAGCGGAGATTTAATCCGTCTTATAAATCGTTCCAAATTTGTTGAACGAAGCTTATTAGCCATAATTGATTTTTTACAAGGAATAAAATCTATCTTTTTGTACTTTATATGGCGTGTGGGGGGATGATTTTCATATAAAATTTCAAATTTTTAAAAATTTTTTCGTTTTAATGTATTTCTTTTAATTTTTTTAATGTTATTACTGCTGCTCCATAAACCTTAAAAGGCAGTGGGAACATTCAGAGCTTCGCCCTGATACGAGCAGTCTTGTTATAGTTTGTTTTTCCTTGTTATCTACAAAAATGTGACAAAAATTTTTTGTAGAAACTAAAAATTTTGCACTACTTTTCTGTCTAATTTATGACTGTCTTAGCAAAATAAAGGTGGTGTTTCTTGAGTATCAGAGTTTTTCGAATTTTTTGAACAAGGCTGCTAGTATATCAGGACACAACCGTGAACGTTCCTGCTCTCTTTTTACTGATATAATGAAAAATTATGAAAATTAGGTTGCCAGCTTATCAAAATGTAGTCAAAATTTCCGGTTATCACGAGAAAATCTAAATTTTCAATCGTGCACGCAATAAATATGACTATAAATTTTGCTTCAATTCAATTTGGAATAAGGATTAGTGCTGGATAACTCGCCCTACCAAAAAAATACTCACTTTACAAATGGTTAGCTATTAAACAAGCTGCAGTCTCCAACTGCCTGTCGGCTTGTGTTTTCATCATAGGACTCAAGAAGCACTCCCTTGGCCCTCAAACTTTTTGTGCGACTAAGTTGAACAAAAAATCCACACCAAGCATATATGTTCCTCAATTTCATCTAAAACAATAAAAAAAGCTATTTTGCTTCTATTACCAATTCACTCCAAAATTCCAAACGTCATATTTGGAAACCGAATAATGACATTTAAAACTGTTTGGCTGAAATTTAAAAATTCGTTAAAAGACAGATTCAGAAAACGCTCATTTTAGAGTTTTTTAGCTAAAAAAAGCACTGAATATGAAAACAACCTAATTTTTATGCTCAGATTTTGTTTAGCACAACTTTTCAAAAAGGGATTTGATCAAAAAAATTTCGCAGTAAAAATTAATAATTCGCAAATTCTGTTTAGAATCAAAACCAGGAAAGTTTTATCTGCTCTTTAGTCTTAAAATACCATTTTTTTTATATGAAGCCTTCTTTGCCAACGGGAGATTTTCAATTTTTTCATTAAATGAATCAACCGATTTATCTCAGTTTTAAAAAAATTCACCCATTTTCTTTGGAATGTATAACTTGATTTTGTTTCGCGGTAAACAAATTATCAAAAATTTATTTGAGATGAGAATGTCTCAATAACCAACCAAACAATTTTTTTAAAATTAAACTCTACGTTACTTGTTTATTATTATTCTTTTTCATTTTATCCGAAATAAAAAAACTCTGCAATCTTTGCATTTGTGCCCATTTCTATGCTATTCTTGCAATCTTAGCAATGCCATGTTGCAGAAACTGTTGAAAAACAAAAAAAAATACCAAACGGAAAATGAATACCCTAAGAGAAGAAAAATGGAATGCATTTTTCATTACAATATCATTAAAACAAGACAATTGCTGTTAAATTTTTTACAGACAAAAATTTGAGCAATAGATTGATAAAAAATTATGATTTGAAAAAACGCTCTAAATAAACACGAAAATCCATTTAAATTTAATTCGCTAATTTACCAATTTCAAAAGTTTTTATTCAAATATACTAATTTTGTTGAGGGAGCGCGCGCCTTTTTAACCGTCTTTTTCAAAACAAAAGTATGAACGCGGCGCACAAAATTTGGTCCTAATAGAGTGTTTAAAGTGTTTTGGGGAGATCTCTGATAATCAATTTGCCCCTCCTTCCCTCTCGAGAAAATCCTAGATCCGCCCCTAGTTGGATCTAGGATTTTTTCGAAGAGGGATTGTTGATTTTCGAGAAAATTTGACGATAAAGTTTTGACGACCACCTTTTTTTAGGTTAACCAAGTGGGGTGATACTTTACAACAAGATTGCTCGTATCAGGGCGAAGAACTGAATGTTCCGACTGCCTTTTGAGGTTTATGGAGCAGTAATAACATAAATATCATTAACAAATTGAATGTAATAAAAAATGAAATTTTCTTATATTAGATTTGAAATTTTTTCTATAAAAATCATCCTCCCACACGCCATATAAACTACAAATGAATAGATTTCGCTCCTTGTAGCAAATCAATAATGGCGAACTAGCTTCGCTCATCCAATTTGGAACGATTTCTAACACGGATTAAATCTCTGATTACGCGTTAATAGCGCGAAATATATCAAGCGCTAATTGTCCCAAATTGGCCAAAATAGCAATCTTTAAACCCCCATAACTTTACGAAACAAATCACAGGTGAAAAATCGTTTCACATTTAAGCTCAGGACAACAATAGTTTTTGAATGAGAAGTCGAAATTTGTCTGGAGAAAAAAAACCCACCTCGAGCACAAATATTCCGTCGAGCACAAACGGAACAATAAGCGATAACTTTGAGCATAGTGCTCGATTAAATTTCGGAACTATTACGCATAAAATAATCATTTCATTTTCAATCAATATTACTACTATCAGTTTTTATGAATACATTAATCTGCCAAACAAAATGCTTTTCATAAATTAGCAGATATCAGAAAAGTATATATATAAAATGTATTTATAAAATAACTATAGAAAAATCCCTGAATCCGCCCCTGGACTTGGGTCCAAACTGTTAAAACTCATTTGGAATTAGAAAAATTAGATAGTTGACGTAAAAGGCCTCCTACGAGGTTGTTTATCTACTTTTTATAATAACAGTTAATTTTCAGCAGGTTTTTTTTATTTTCTGTGTCATTAACGAATTAGAGCCACAATTTGATAACTTTGCTTGTTGGTTAATTAAGACCAGATTTTTTTGACTTTCAGAGAATAAGTGTTGGAATGAACTTGAATCTTCATTTTAAAATTGATTGCAAATTTCAAATTTCATTTGAAGCAAAAGCAACTTTTTAATTTGGTACAGGATAGACGAATGAAAAGCAAGGTCGAAATCATTTTTTCCCACCTTTTTCGATGCTCTCCAAGCATCTGAATAAATTGCAATTATTTTGGTTCAATTCTTCATTCCCTGTGGTAGCCAACAAATGTTTCCAAAGAAAAGAACTGTCACAAACATAAAAATTGTATTTCTGACGCCATCTTTGAACGTCATTTTCAGATAAGTTGATTTCAGCTACAAAGTATTCCTGGTATTCCTGCAACATAAATTAGAAGAGGAAAAACTTATACGATAGTTTTTTGTCCTGAAATACTTTTTCTTGTTGTGACGTTATTTGAGAGAACTCGTCACAAAATATCAGTCAGATTTGCCAATTAAAAAATTAAGAAATTCTAATTTTATTTTCGATTATTAAGCAAAACAAGTTTTCCCTGAAGCTCCGAATCTTCCGAAGCTTTGATTGTCGCAAAGGCCTGGAAGCACCAACTGCTTTCATTTAGTATTCAACTTTTATGAAATTGAATAAAGGTTAGTTCATCAATTATGCGAGAATACACTTATCAGTGAAAAGGACAATGTTCCGACCGCTATTTGTTCCGACCGCTTATTGAATTACTTGTTGGAAGTGAGAGATTTTTTTTGATCCAAGCCACTGCTGCAAGGGTTTTTTATCTGCAAACAAAATACAACAAAGAAAGTTGTGTGATCGTGCGTTTGTGGTCGTTGCCAAACCCCTCCTAGGATGAAAATAGGAGACCACTATTTTCTTTCTCTTTTTGCATTTGTCCCGAAAGAGTGACAGAAGCTAAAAGTTATAAAGTAGGTCAATATTTTTCTTTGGAAAAAGAATAGAAGAGGCAAAAAACCGGAATTCTAAATTTTCGTTAGTACATTTTCATTATACAAGTAATGGATCATTATTTTGAAATTTAATTCTTCCCTCGTTGATTTAAGGCACACTTTAAACCCGCATTCTAATTTTTTGTCAAAATTTTTTCAAAATTTTCAAAATCTCATTTTTATTATGTTCCGTTGAAAATTGTCAGCACTGTTTTGAAAAATATTGAATCATTTTTGACAGTCCATGAGTAATAAATCATGTTACATGAGCTATTAAATCGAAATGTTCGAAGAGGTATCAAAGTATCCGCGGATCTAGTATAATTTGACAATTTTTGTAATCTAAAAGCCACGACAAGAAATTAACAAGAATAATAGCTACTAACTTTTTATCAATTTTAGATAAACTGGGGGATTTGTAAGTATTCAGCAGTATATTGAATAACAATTAATTTCTTTTTTCGATCTATACACGGAGAGAGGGTGTAACAGATTTGCAACAGTACTAAATTAATCACTCCAATATAGGTTTTTAACGTGCTGATATTGTTGTTCCGTAGTTCGTGAAAGTGCTCGGGGTGGGTTTTTTTAGACAAAACTCGACTTTTTAACTAGCCATTTGGACATAATTTTTTAAAAATCATTCAAAAAGTATTGTTGTCTTGAGCTTAAAGTTGAAAAT